GGAGAGGGTGGGGAACGTGGCCAAGAGGAGCCTGGCACGGTGGGGCTCTCTCTGGTGGGATCTGCTTCTTCACCTGACCCTCTGCAGCTTGGTTTTGGGGGGAGGATGGGCAATGCTGGAGCTCTCCCGTGACAGGGACACCTTCTGCTGCCACCATGGCCTGGCAGAAGGACATCTACCTGACACTCCTCCTCATCCTCTGTGCCCTCTTCTTCGTCTTTGAGGTGCTCACCCAGGGCTGAGTTCCTGCTCTACCCGCACCATGACACCACTTCTTCATCCCTGCCAGTCCTGTTCCCATCTGGGACTCACTGTCCCTTATCCTGGGGGTTTGGGGCACAGGGACAACCAGGATACGAGGGCACCCACAGCAGCTGAGGCCAGTTTGGGGTCCAGGTTGTGTCCCTGCCTTGCTGGGTGTGCCAGGGAGGTGACCCTCCTCACCAGGGAGGTGACCTAAAAAAAAAACCCCAAGACCCTCCTCACCAGGGGGGTGACCCAGCCACAGAATTAATCAAGAAGGAGTTGATCCTGGTGGCACTGGGGTTTAGTGCTGATCCAGTTTACCCTGCAGGTGGGTGTTGGAGTGCTGCAGACCCTCTGCAAGCTGAATTTCCAGTGTTTGGAAAGAATCCAGTCACCCTTTGGGCTCAGTTCAACAGCCTAAAAACCTACAGCTAAAGTTTTGGATGGTGTTGAGAGAGCAGGACCTGGCCCTGTGAGCTGGGTTGAGGAATTGATCTGACCTTAGAATTAATCCTACATTAAAAAAAAAACCCCAACCAAACAAAAAAACCCCACAAAACTCACCAAAAAGGACAAAAAACCTTGTGTTTGCCTAAGCAGTGATGTTGTGGGGAGGGGACAGGGCTGTCCCTTTTGCCTGCTTGGAGGATGAGCTTGGATCAGCTAAACAAGTATGAAACTTCCCTTCCTCTGCCTCCATCAGCATGTTTGTGCTGTTCTTAGGGAGGAGAAGGTCCTCAATGATGTTGAGCAACACAAAAGCTCTTTAAAGCCAGGAAAGCAAGTGGAGGAAACTGTTCCCTGGTTAATCCCTGGGTATTCCTCCAGATATATAAAGCACTCAGCTCAGATCTGGCTTTCTAGGCACCTTCCCCAGCTTGGGGAGCTCATCTGAGCTTCCCCCTGGCCCAGCATCGCTATCCCTGGCTCCTCTCCTTACCAGATATCACTGGCAGCCTTGGAAAAGGGTTTTCTGGAACAATCTGCCAAGGTTTGCCACATCCCCACAGCAGTGATGGAGTGCTGGGGCTTGGGTCAGATAGGAGACAGGTTCTTCTGCTTAGTCTTTGTGTAGCTGTGGAGGCAGGTGCTGCACAACTGCAACGTGAGGTGTTGAGTGTGGAAAACCCAAATTAATCCCTGACTCATTCTGAATTCCAGGGTATGAAATGGCAACACTCTTTGGTTTGTTGTTTGGTGGGGTTGGTTTTTTTTCCCCCATCTAAAATTCAAGGCTAAGACTTCCTGCCTTGAAGGAAAGAAGAATTAATAAGTGTTACTGCTCCAGAAACAATTATTACTGCTCCAGAAACATTTATTGCCAGGGATAATTACTCTCACTCCCTCTGGAGCTTGTCCTCAGCCACATCCCGCTCTGCTGTGCTCACCCTCACCAGTCCTAGACCTTGCTGGCAAGAGTTGGTGGTGGGATGGTTAGTTTGGCTGTGGGCACAGTGGGTCTGTGACTGGAAATTCCTTGGGAAGCTCCTTCCCATGCTTTGGGAGGAGGCAGAGGTCTGTGGAGGGGCTGCTCGTGTCCTTGCTGGCACTGAAACATCCAGGACTTGCCTTTTTCCTGGAGCTGGAGGGTGGTCTCTGCAGGGAGAAGTTTTGCTGGGAATAGAATCACTTGAGTTAAATCCTCAGAGTGGTTTCAGCTGAGGAGCTGAAGAAAAGTTTGGGAAAATCCCAAAATAGCCATTTAATCGAGTTTTGGTTTGAAAGAGATGGGGGTTTGTTTTGATTTTAGAATTTGAGATAGAGATCAAATAATTATGGATCTGGATATGGATCAAATGGTGCCTTCCCAACCAGAAATACTCCCTCATGTTTCTGTTTCACTGACCAAGCTGAGAAGATGAGCAGCTCAGCTGCTCCAGAGCCCCATGTGCCTTCTCCCTGCGTTATCTTTTCCCCCTGTGTCTTCCATCCCTTTCAGCTTTTAGCTTTGCATGGAAATTCATGTGTTTTTTTCCCCCTTTCAGTGGAAATTTGTGGGTTTTCCCCCCCTTTCAGTGGAAACTCATAGTTTTTTCCCCTCTTCCAAGTTTGTGCTACGAGGAACGTTTCCATTTGAGGTTGTGAGGATCTGGTTTTGGAAGAAAAGCAGACTGTGGTGGGTGGAGGAGTGAGTCCCTTTGAATTCTTGTACTGCTCACTGCAGGGGTTTGTCTGTGTTGTGAATGCTTATTTCATTCAGCTGAATCACTTGCAGCAGTCACACCTTGTCTAAACAAAGCTTCAAGAGAGGGGATGCCTGAAGCCAGAAAAAAACATCTCCTGCTACTCAATTCCAAACCAGGGAAGGTCTGTTCCTCACCCTTCAGGCTGGATTCTGATTACAAACACTGGAGAGAGCTGGTGGTGACTGGCATCACCACGTCATGAGATAAGCTTGCCATGGAAGTCCTCCCTGGCCATGAAGTGACAGCCTCTCTGAGCTGCTGCTGGTCTTGCTTGGTTTGTTGGGTTTGTTTTGTTTCCCACCCCCTCCAAGTAGCTCTGACGCCATCAGCTCATCTGCTGCATCTCCAGCTGAACCACCTGAAGCCACCTCAGCCCCGTGTAAGGGAATTTGTGTGGTTTTTATCCCCTTGGTCTGGGATCAAGAGAACTTGAGGACTCAGAGGGCTGTTGGCTGTGCTATCAGTGTTGTACCTGGAGATCCAACTCCTCCCTCCCAGATAAAACACCCTGGAGCTGGGGAAGTCCTCTGCAGCGACCAGAGTCCTCTGCCCAAGGGCACCACCCTCACCACCACCTTGGCATAAAACACCTTCGACTGTTGAAGGGCCGAGGTTGGTCCCTGCAAGATCCAAGTCTTGTATTTAATGGGGGGGGGGTCTCTCTTCTCTGTGACCAGAAATTGTCACATAAAATTCTATTTAATATCATCTTGGCATTGTTCCAGCCACTGATTGGGTATGTCAGCTTTTGTGATGGGGCTGGTAGTTAGATCTAACTATGCTTGTGGTATTGGAGAAGGAGGAGAAGCCGAGGTAAAGCACTTAGTGAAATCCTTTGGGGAATTAAAATGATGGGATGGAACATCCTCTCTCTGGCTGCTGGGGGTTTTTCCTCACTGCAGTTTCCCAGTGTAATGGGCCCTTCTGTGAAGTGTGAGTTCTCCATTCAACTCTCCCCAGCAGCTGCAGGAGAACTGGATTTCTTTTTGTCTTCAGCTTTTCAGCACCAACCTTCAACGTTTGTCAATGTTCCAGGCGAGATAGCGCCTGCAATGTCAGGCTCCTGCCTGTGGAAAGGAGCTGCTGTTTGTTTTTCCAATAACCCAGCGTGTTTGTCACTTGATTTTATTTCTTTATTCTACTTTCTGACCTATCTAAAGATTAAAATGTCTTTGTTTTCTCAGGAGTTGAAACACTTGATCCTTATTTATTCCCCCCCCACCCCAAACCTGAAAAAACCCCAAGATTTTTCACTGAAAATCACTTTTCCCTCTTACTTAGGTCTCTGTCAAGCATCATCACAACTCACACACAAGTTGAATGTTGCTTTTTTATTAATGATCTTTTCTTTCAGTAGAGGTAAACTTGTTGGTGTCCAGAGTTCAGCTCATTTTACCGCTGAAGATGCGATTCTACCTGATGTTGGGAAGAGTTTCTGGAGGCAGAATTTGGAGCTGCTTTGGGAAAGGACCCCAAACTTGTAGCATTGCAACCACTACCTGGGTTTTTAGACTACAGTTTCCCCTTCTTCCTGCAAATAGATGAGTTTTTGGGAATCATCCCAGGTCTGGGAGATGATGCAGGTGGCTGCAGGTGTTCTGGTGAGGGTGAAGACGCTGCTTCGCTTCGCTGGCGTTCGGGATGAGCACACATCAGTTTAGGCAAGTTCAGGAGGTGGTTTACAAGTGAGATGTGAATGAGTTGGACAACAGAGCTCATGCTCAACCCTGGCCATGGGATGTACAGCCTGATGGTTGTGGCTGAAGCCCACTTCCAGCAGGGTTGGCACGTTGGTTTTCTCCTTCCTCCGGAGCTTTGCTGAACGTGCTGCTTACAACAGACCTTCCCAAGTGGTTGCAAAAGAATTGGTCAAGCAGTCAACTTGTGGCACCTCCCATCTGCTCCTTCTTGCTGCTTCCCCCCTCTCCTCACCCCACATTCTAATAATCTCTTTGTTTAAGGCTTTCTCACCCCCCCCAACCCCTCTCCCGTGATGATGAGTTGTGATAGCGCTGTCATTGTCCGCTGGTAGATGACATAAGGCTCAGGGACACAGATAACTGTGTGGAAGTGGAGGAGGAGCTGATGTCCTGACAAGCCAACAGTGTGTCTCTTGTTGACTCTCAGCTTTCCCAAACAAAAGAGCTTTAAAAATCTCTGTTACTTAGCGCTGTAAATTAATTGCTGAGCGTTAATTGCGCTGTAGAGGAGGCGCAGACTGAAGGCTCCTCAGCGAAGTACCAAGTCAGGACTTCACGTGGTGGCCCTACCTGTTGCTCAGCTGTTCTGGGTGGCACTTGGCTTTCTCTGCTGTGGTGGATGCACCAAAAAACACCTTCCTAAAAGCAGGGCAGGGAGGGAGGCACATGGTGAGCTCGGTGTTGGGTCTCAGGATGCAGTTTCAGTGCAGTGGGGGTTTGTCTCGCTCACCCATCTCTGACCTTGTCTCCAGACTGGTTTGGGTTGGAAGGGACCTTCAAGCTCCTCCAGTCCCAACTCCCCTGCCAGCAGCAGGGACACCTTCCACTAGACCAGGTTGCTCAAAGCCTCATCCAACCTGGCC